TTGTTGTAGAGGGCAGAATGAATGTTTTGATGACTTTGGCATCACTCAAGAATACTTAAAGCCCCTTTGTTTTATAGCGGCTCCTTTGACAAAGGCACAGGCACTCAGCATTCAGACCATGGCGTCCTGTTAAGTGTTGTCTGTATTCACCAAGGTCAGATTGAATCCTTGCCTCTAACCATAGGAAAAAAGAGACAAGACAGTGGAGTTTTGGGGAAAAAATAGAGGAGAATGTGCATAAATGTCACCTGCAGCTTGTTTGGCTTGTGGCTTTCTCTCACTGGAAGCCTGTGGAACTCCCAGGTTTCCACTTTCCCCTGCTGGTTTTTGTTCGCTAACTTTGGTGCTGGGGCTAGATAGAAATAAAAAGCAGAAAACAGCCCAAAACCCTCTAAATTTCTGTGAAAACAGCCCAAAACCCTCTAAATTTCTGTGTGGTCCTGTAGACTTCCAAAACACGAGTGCTATAGCATTCTCCCACCTGCCAGGTGAGGTTAATGGATGTAGCAGTGGGACCTTTTGAAATCTTCTGAATTCACAGCAAGCCCCAAGCTCTGGGAGCCAGATTCACATTGCGCTGTCTCTGTTGGGTCACTCTGGTTTTAGAAGTTAATTACATTTCTATTTTTCTTTCTTACACAGTTCTTTCTATTCTAGAAGCATGTCCTGTGCAAAATATCATTTTCAATTTCTCTTTTTCTCATTCCTGATATGAAATAAGGATGAAAAGGAAGGCACTACTGGTGGGAATATAGTCACTTTATATATTTGTGAAGAAAAACAGAAATACAGAGTGTCAATAATCCTAGAGTTGTTACCAAGGTAAAAAAGTAGTGGAAATATTATTTTCTGTGGTTGTTCATGTTTTCTCAAGTGTTTGGAGACCCAAATTGTACCAAATTATGGTATGAAATTGCCATACTTGAAATATTCCTCAGTACATTCACAGAATCCCAGAATAGTTTGGGTGGGAAATGACCTTAAAGTCCATCCCTGGGCAGGGACACCTCCCACTGTCCCAGGGTGCTCCCAACTTCAATGTCCAGCCTGGCCTTGGGCACTGCCAGGGATCCAGGGGCAGCCCCAGCTGCTCTGGGAATTCCAGCCCAGGCAGGAATTCCTTGCCAAGATCCCAGCCCAATCTCCCCTTTCCCAGTGGGAGCCATTCCCTGGCTCCTGTCCCTGCAGGCCTTGTCCCCAGCCCCTCTGCAGCTCTCCTGGAGCCCCTGCAGGCCCTGCAAGGTCTCCCCAGAGCCTTCTGCAACAACCCCAACTCTTATGTTTTCAGTTCTTTCGTTTGTTTTAGATTAGGGCTGCTAATATTATGTATAATATTGGAAATTAAATTTTTTGAGTTTGGAGAAGCTGTTGCCCTAATCCCATTGTGGTGAATAGTTTTCCTTCCTATAAAATATCAGTAACTTCCAGCACAAGTGGAAAAAGTTATGGTGTACTGAATTATCTGTATATCTGTTTATTACAGTTAAATGGGAGGAGTTACTCAAATTTAATTCTTGCTGGATTTAACAAAAGATTTCTACATAATTTCTTACTTGGTTGTGGACTGATTTTTCTTAGTGGTATGTGAAACTCAATTTGTTTTTAAAAAGTTCAGAACCCTTGTAGATCACAAGAGGAGAGGTTTAAGTAATTTTAGGTGTTGTTGCATGTACAGGTTTAAGGTGAACTTAGGTCTTAGTTGGCCTACTTTATTATAAAATTGTTATCTCAAATTTATTTTGTTTTCTTTTCTCTTGAAGAACAAACTCTGGTTCTTATGCAAACCAAGCCCTGGTATGTAATTGTTCTAATTGGGTTTTCAAAATTTCTATCAGCCACAGGCTGTAGTTTAGCTCCAGCAATATTTTGAGTTTGAAACACCAACTGTTACTGAAATGTCTGTTGGGTTCAAATATGCTTTTCCTTTGCTTATATGATTTTGTGGCCAAGTCATTTGCTATTAACTCCTTTGAAATTTGCATGTACTGATTTCAAAGCCAGTGCAATTTTTAGATGTTGGCTAGTTAAAGGAAGCCAAATTTTCTTCTTGGCTTCATATTTTATGCTAATCAAATGATAAAAAATGTAAAGCTCTTCATTATAAATTTTTGTTAGTCCATGCAGCCAGCTACTTCTGGTTTTCTGGAAAGCAGGTGGATTATTTTGGTACTTCAAGTGATGTGGCAGCAGGAAAAGCAGGACAGGCAGCTGTGCTCTCCAGGGTACCTTTCCAGATAAGATAAACACAGGCTTTGTACCGTTCTGTGGAATTGCCATGATGAAGGATCTGAGGATGCCGTGCTGTTCCTAAGAACAGGGTGTGACATCTCCTTGCATGGCTTGGGAAGGGTCAGGGAGCTGCTCCGTGGAAGGGGACCTGGGAGTGCTGCTCCACAGTGGCTGAGGGGGACTCCAGGTGTGCCCAGGGAGAGGTTTAAGGTGGATTTTAGGGAAAGTTTCTGCCCAGAAAGGGCTGTCCAGGGCTGGAGTCCCCATTCCAGTCCTCCCCCTGCAGGGATCTCACAGCCCTGTGTGTGTGGCATTTGGGGGCATGGGGCAGTGGTGGCAGTGCTGGGGGATGGTTGCACTGGATGAGCCTAAACCTAAACAGTTCTGGGATTCTTTGATGTTAGTGGGGATTTGATGGTGCAGCTGAGCTCAGGTTCTGCCCTTTACCTGGGGGAGCCTTTCCAGGCCCCAGCATGAGCCCCTTTCCTGCACTTAAACTGCTTCAGCCTTTGGTACAGAATTCATTTTTTGAGAATGGATAAATGAATCTTCTACTGTCAGCTAAACTTAATTAAAAACCCGGCCTGCTAAGAAATTGGTGCCATATTTTTCATGGATCCAGAATGAACAGCCTACTTTCAACAGCTATTTCCAACCAAACTTTCAATGTAACTGAATTAATTAAGTCCTGGGAACGGATTATATTAGGGGAAATTAAGCTCTAAGTAAGCAAACCATTAACAATTATGAGACCAAATTGCCTGTGACACAGATTGGTCAGGTTTGATGGCACAAAGTATTTTCAGTTTGCGAGGAATAAATTGTAGAAACAACCCAGGTTTTTTTAATCCATGTATGAAGTACAGGTACTCAATTGGGCTTTATAGAAGAAGAACCACAGCAGGTAGAGAAAATAATCACCACTGGTAAAGCATTTGTAAGGCTTCTGTGTGAAATAAACCTACATTATTTTTTGTTTGTTTGTTTTTATTTGTTTCCTGCAGTTGTTATCAAAAGATGAGAAGCCCTTCTCTGGTAACAGTCTCATTAATCTTTCATAGAATCTCTCTTATTTTAAAAATAGCAGTTTCTTGTTTCTTCTAATGGGAGCAAGTTTTGGTTTCCATCACAGAAACTGATCCTGATGGTCATCCACAGGGGACTGGCCTGTCAAGGATTCCTTTCTGCTTTTAATTGTCTTTTTCTACTTAAGGATTGTTGATACATAACAAGGGCTTTAATTTGAAATGCATCTCTTATAGGCACTCAGCATCATGGTTATTCTCAGAAAAAATATTAAAAGTTGGGGTTTTTTTTTATACTGACTGTGTTACATGTTTGTATTTTGGGAAGAGATATTTCACTAAGGATTATCTTTGCCTTAAATACATTCCAGAATATTATGTTTATTCCAGAATATCCATTTATGCAAATACTGTACCACTTTAGTTACTAGGCACTGATTTTTTACACAAAAAGTGAAATCTTGCTTGCTGTCTTTTAATAATCAGAAGACTATTGGGAAGCACTTCAGAAACAAAAATCAACAAGAAACTCTGTGTTTTCTTGCCTTGTAAAGGCAGGACTGTTGAGGTTGCAGCATCTGGTGTGCAGGTTTGGAGTTCACTTTCCAGCCACACAGTGGTTGTGAACTGCAAAGGAACTTTCAACTTCAAAATATGTCAATGTATTGATAAGAAAACTATTTGGGGCAGCTTCTGTACCAAGTTACAATGGATGTTTAAAGCAAGTATGATCATAGAAAATGTTCCAGAGCAACAGAAACCCAGCAATGACTCACTTTACACACATTCATGAATTATGGGATGTGGCTATTGCTGGGAGGAGGGATTTATGTTTATGCTAATGTTGCCATAAGTACTGTTTATTAAGGGAAAAAACAACAAATGACACCAGAAATGGATTCAATATCCATGACAAGTGCAGATTTCACTTTAATTCTGAGTGAATTCTGGTACTTCATGAAAGAGTTAATATGCTGTTGTGGTGCTGAGAGATTGATAGGCAGAGGAAATAGGAGGTACCTGGAAAGAACTTCTGATCCCTAATATTGCACAAGTTGCTTTTCTCTTGGCTCGCCTCCCCTCCACGTTGTTATTTTTACCCAGGCTCCCTAATCTTCCCTTTTGCCTCTAACCACCTCCCAGTTTCCTGCTGGCCTCTTCCCTCTGGTTTTGTCCCAAATGTTCTGTGTTTTTCCCTGCTCTGCTGTGGGATTGCAGGGCAGTGAGCTAAGATGAATGCCATAGCTGTTTTCACAGTGTCTATCATCTTCTGTGTTTCGTGCCTCTTTGCAGCTCTGGGTGTAAGTTCCTTTTTTGAGGAGATTTTGTTGTCTGGATATTGTTTGAAATGTAAATATTAAATTTTGGGTTGGTGTGTAAACAATAATTAAAGATTTTCACTTTTAATTAAAGATTATTTGCAGCTCTGTGAAACCTCTGTTCTAAGTTTTTGAAGTTGTGTTTTCTTTAGTGTGCACTGAAGAATATTCCTTGGAACGTGGCTGGGAGACAGGGTTACTTGTTCAGCTTCATTTCTGGGATATATGTTTTCAAAACAATATGAAGTTATAATTTATTTTCTTTTCCCTCAGAACATTTCCGTTCTTTTTCAAAAACAGTGTTGAAAAATATGAATTGATCTGAGTAAAGCTGCTTTTCATTGTAATTTTAAATCCTTTTTACATATCTTGAAATATGAATTTTCTTTCCAGTAAGTAACAGAAAGCATTTGCTTTTCTTTTGCAGATTGCATTCTCACAGCACAGCAACTTTATGGACCTGGTGCAGTTCTTTGTGACATTTTTCAGGTACTTTTCATTTAAGACAGCTAAATGTTACTTCTTTAGGTTCTGGGCTTCAGAGTTTGGGTTCTGCTTGGTCTGGCTTTCTTTAACTTGAACATCCTGCTTACAGCACAGCCTAGAAAATGGAAATCTTCACTCTGATTTAAATGTTTAATTAGGAATTATGTTAAGAAAATTATTTGTCTGTGCATCTTTTCCAATGCATGATGCCAGTGCATGCAGGGAAAGGGAGGATGGGGCTGGGAGAGGCTTTTGTAAAAGGAGAAGTTCCTTTTGAGAGGGTGTAGAAAACATTGACTTGCCACAGCTGTGTGTGACTTACTGCAGGTTGTCACACCTTGTCAGGCACCAGCCATAAACCAGGAGAGTTATTTTGCAAAGAGTTAAGTCTGGAGTAATTTCCAGCTCTTCAGGTACCACCTTTTGATTTTAAACTGAACTCTGAAAGTATATCAGTTTAAATACAAACATATGTTACAGTTCAATGGAAGCCAAATTCTTCTGGTTTTCACACACAGCTCTAAGTTCATTTCTTAGTGTCAAGTGAGCTGATGATTCCCTCAGAGTGGGACCCAGCAGAAGCCATTTCAATACTTGTCTCCTCTTCATTCCTCCAAAAAATACAAAGCTAATGAAGAGGTGAAACACTTCCAAAGCACAGCAGGCCCTCTCTTCAAAGCTTCAAAATCCAGTGTATTGGCCTCTGTTCTAGGGACTGCTAATACTCCAGAAGTGGAAACCAATACCTGATCAATAAGGAGTCCTACAGGAGGGATGTACATGGAGTAAACACTACTCCAGGTCTCACAGCCTGTTCTAAAGTAGGCAATATTATGCCTGGTATAAAATGAGCAGTGGGAGTAATATCTTGCTTTAGATTTCATGCTAAATTTAATTAAAGCAAGAAGCTCCAGACAGACCTTTCAGACAAGTGGTTTATATCAATGTTTTTTTTTTTTCATATGGAGCTTTTAGAGAGTAGAATCTGCCTTAGTGCAGTTCCTGGGAAACAGCAGGTTTGATCCCTGGGAATCAGAATCACCACCTCCTGCCGTTGGAGCAGAGTAGGTGGTTACTCCTGGCTCAGGCCTAATCATTTGTTTTGCTGAATTAATCACAGTCAACATCTTCCCTAAAAATCTTTGTGGCAGGGTAATTGCTTATTAGGAAAATGAAGAGGGAAACAGTTGGTTCCTTAGTTCTTTTCTAATTGTGTAAGACAAATCTGCACCACAAAACCTGTCCAATTAGTGCTTTACAGACCCAGCTACATCTGCACATGAGGGTTTAAACTCCTCAGGATGAAGGATTGCTCCAGATTCATTGTTTGAAGAGATTCCCAGAGCAGCTCTGGCTGCCCCTGGATCCCTGGCAGTGCCCAAGGCCAGGTTGGACACTGGGGCTGGAGCAGCCTGGGACACTGGGAGGTGTCCCTGCCATGGCAGGGGGGTGGCACTGGGTGGGATTTAAGGTCCCTTCCAACCCAAATCCTTGCATGATTCCAGTCCCAGGTTAAAGCAGAAGATCAGTGCACTGTGTGTCTCAGTGGGCACGTGCAGCTGAACACACACGTCCAAAGGCTGCGAGTTCCCTTTCCTCCATCACTGTTATCACATGGCTCTCCTTGAGAAGTAATGTTGCAATATTATTTAACATCCTAACAAGCCAGAGGAATAAGAACATGTGGATTTGGGAGAAGACAGTTTACAGGTGTTTTCCACTTAAACATTTATGATGTGCTAGAAATTCTTTGATTCTTTCACTACTCCTAAGCTTCTCTCCAGGTGTTTTATTTTACAGTCACCATAACTCCCTAATTAACCAGTGGATTAGAACAGTGTGATTCATCTCACTGGGTGTAGGGGAAACTATTGAAACATTTGCATTTTTAATGCTCTAGGGCACATTTCATAATTACTGTGGGATCCAAGGCAGACCATAAATAACTAATACCTGAGAGCCCCCTGTGCTGTTAATAAGGAACAGTTGGCTGAGAATTTGCTCCCTAAAATAGAGGCAAGGAAAACGCTTTGTGAAAACCTAAAACCAGTTGGTATTATTAACACCAAACTCAAAACCTGGGATATGTATCAATGTCTTAGGTGTAATGGAGACCTAAAGAGATGTTCTTCTGGAAAACAGATGTTTAGAGGCTTTCTGTTTGCACATTTAAGGGTGTTGCTTCATTTTGCTGTTCTGCAGGAAATGCCTGAGTTGTCCAGAGCAGCTGTGGCTGCCCCATCCCTGGAAATGTCCAAGGCCAGATTGGGTGGGGCTTGGGGCTTTTCTGCTGTGCAGCTGGAGGCATCATCTGTGCCTTGAGCTGTGTGGAGCACCTGAGAGGGACCCGGGGGATTTTCAGTGCCACTGCTGACATTTGAGATGAATTAGGTCAGTGCAGTCCTTGCAGAGAGCTGTGGGCTTTCCACAGCCCAGCACTGCTGAGTTTTGATATCCCAGGCACTGGCTGGGCTGCCTGTGGGTTGCCAGGGGCATGGAAAAGCAGGAACCTGGTCGTGCATTCAGACAGCACCAGGCAGTGTGGAGCAGGACACAGGACTGGGTTTCATTTCATTTAGGAGCTGGCTACTGTGATCAGAGGGCTGTGCCTCACGTTTAGAGGGGCTGTTGGATTCCTGGAGTTCAGCACCAAGCCAGGCAGGGGGCTGTGTATGACACAGCCTTAATTTGTACACATGAATGTGTTATTTTAAGGTAAGAAAATGTCAGTGGATAAAGGTTGGGTAGAACGGTGAAGTTCCGAGGTCGTTAATATTGCATTATAATCAGAGCCAGAGGAGAAATGATATTCCAACCATTGTTAACCTTTGCAAAGCTAATGAACTGCAAGGAAACTGGGCTTTCTCTTTCCTCCTCTCTGCTTTTCATAACACAGCTCTTTAATTTACAGATTGTACAGCTGTCTTTCAGCACATAGTTTGACCTATTTTGACAATTTCTAGTGAACATTTTTTATTCATATCTGTGCTTCCTTATCTTCCAAAAAATCTGTCTGCCAGCACACCTATCACAGGTACTAATCACCAGCATACCTTTATGTACAGAAGATGTAAAAATATTTGTGGCCTTGTAAGCACATATTATTGCCCAATAATCTTTCCCCCTTTTTCTTTCCCCCCTTGTTCTTTCTCTTCCCTTCTTCCATTCTTTCCTTTTCCTTTTCTTCCCTTCAACCTTCAGCCCAGAGAGCACTTGAGAGACCTTATTGGGATCTCTACATCCTTAAAAGGAGTTCAAAGGAAGATGGGGATGGACATTTCAGTGGGACCTGTAGTGATGTAACAAAGGATGATGACTTTAAATTGAAAGAGGGTCTATTAAGACTTAATCAGGGAAGAAATCTTTTGTGCTGAGGGTGGTGAGACACCGGAGTAGGCTTCCCAGAGGAGGGGTGGGTACCCCATCAATTCCACTCCAGGCTGGACAGGGCTCTGAGCCATCTGACCTGGCTGAAGATGTTCCTGCTCATGGCAGAGGGGTTGGACCAGAGGGCCTTTTAAGGTCTCTCCAAACCAAACCATTCCATGATTCCATTCTGTGATCTCATCCTAAGCTTTACTACATGGATGTACCAAATACCTCAGGTGTCTTCTACTGCACTTCTCTGCTGCTTCTCACATGCACAGCTCATTTTGTTTCTTGCCTGCTGTTTGTCTTGTCTTCATTATCTGTCCTTGAAACCCCCTTCTAAGGGAGTCCAGTGTCTGCTGCAGTCTAGGGGGAGGTGTTGCTGCCCATGCAGGGTGGTTGAAGCTGGATATGAGGTCCCTCCCAGCCCAAAGCAGTGTGTGATTCCATGATCCTACATGTCCCACTGAAGCCTTACTATGATTGTTAGAGAAATGGGTGTTGTTGCACAAATGGGACAAAAGCTGCCAGTTTAGTATTTTTGTGGTGGCACATCAAACCTCGTGTGCCCCATTAGGGTCTGAATATCAAATGGAAATGGTGTAGTTTTGGTTTGATACAAATAATTGGACTCGTTCCTCAGAAAAACTTGAGCAGGAGAGCTGTTTGCTGAGTACAAGACTCAGGCAGATGGTTTTATGTGTTGTATATTGTTTTCCCTAAATATATGTGTTTTCCCAGTGTTTTCATTAAGTGGGAATGGCCTCCTGCAGTAATTCAAATCTGTAGTTATGCTGCAGATATTTTATTTACTCTTGTTGCTTATTAAATAATTTTTTACTGCAGCACAAATGGCCTTATTAAATAGATGCTTAAAATACAGGCTGAGTCCCTTGTTTGTTTTTTTTTTTTCTTAGAAAAAGGAAGAACTTGGGAATATCTTCACATTATTTCTAACAAAATGAAGAAGATTAACAGTTCAGCATCCATAGCTTCCTTCTTTTCATGTTCTCAGCACTCTTTACTTCATCCTCCATAATCATAGAATAGAATCATAAGATCATTGGGGTTGGAACAGCCCTCTGAGATCAGTGAGTTCAAGCACTCCCCCGCACTGCCAGCACTGCCCCATGTCCCCAGGTGCCACATCCAAAGGGCTGTGAAATCCCTGCAGGGATGGGGACTCCAGCCCTGCCCTTTCCATGAGGAATGTCCCCAGTGCCCACCCTGAGCTCCCCTGAGGCCGTTCCCTCTGCTCCTGTCCCTGTTCCCTGGGATAAGATCCCAAATCCCCCCGGCTGTGCCCTCCTGGCAGGAGCTGTGCAGAGCCACAAGGGCCCCCTGAGCCTCCTTTGCTCCAGGCTGAGCCCCTGCCCGGCTCCCTCAGGGATTCTGCAGCCCCTGCCCGGCTCCCTCAGGGATTCTGCAGCCCCTGCCCAGCTCCCTCAGGGATTCTGCAGCCCCTGCCCAGCTCCCTCAGGGATTCTGCAGCCCCTGCCCGGCTCCCTCAGGGATTCTGCAGCCCCTGCCCGGCTCCCTCAGGGATTCTGCAGCCCCTGCCCGGCTCCCTCAGCTGCTTCTGATCTGACTTGCTGTCCTGGTTTTGGCTGGGATAGAGTTAATTTCTTCTCAGG